CGTCCTGGTTCATAGGAGCAGACTGCTTTTTCAACGACTGTTGCTAAAAGGTGGTGGAAGGAAATGGAGGAGTCACTGGAGGGAAAACTGAGGTCAATAGTCATTTTTTTTTTCAGATGGAAGAAATAAACCTGTGTTTTTAGGATGGTAGAAAAGATCCAGTGGAGCCCTGATCAGGTAGCTCAGTTGGTTAGAACATCATCCCAATATGCTAAGGTTGCGGATTCCATCCCCTGTCAGGGCACATACAAGAGTCAACCAATGAATGCACAAATACGTAGAACAACAAATCAATGTTTCTCTCTCACATCAATGTTTCTCCTCTCCCCTTCCCTTCCCTCCCTTCCTCTCCCCAGTTCCCTCCCCTCCCCTCCCCTCCCTCCCCCTCCCCTTCTCTCCTCTCCTCTCCTTTCCTCTCCTCTCTTCTGTCTCTCTGTCTCCCCACCCCCCCCCTTCCTCCTTCTAAGCATGTCCTCAGGTGAGGATTAAAAAACAACATGCCTGGCCGGTGTGTCTTAGTGGTTGAGCGTTGACCTATGAACCAGGAGGTCATGGTTTGATTCCTGGTCAGGGCACATGCCTGGGTTGTGGATTTGATCCTTGGTGGTGGTGTGCAGGAGGCAACCAATCACTAATACTCTCTCATCATTGATGTTTCTGTCTCTCCCTCTACCTTCCTCTCTGAAATAATATATATATATTTAAAAAAATAAAACAAAACAACAAAAAAGCACAGTTGTAAGCCTGAAATTTATATAGTGTGATTAACCAATGTGACTCCAATAAAGTTAACACAATTTTTAAATTATTGAGCATCACAAAGAGTGTGATACTTAATATTGACATTATGGAAGAGTTGCAGTTATAGGTAATGACAAGATTCCGAGCATTGATACCCGCTATCTATTATTGTTGCCACTAGTGGCACTGATAATGGGCTAAGGAAATGAAATTTAAATTATATTTAATTTTAATACATTTTAAATGAAAAAGCAACATGATGCTAGTAACTGCCATATGGAACAGTGCAGTTCTGGAGACATGACCATGTTAGTGAGTGGCTAAGATGGAAGTCAACATTATTGGAAAAAAGAAGGACAAAAACTTTAGAAGTTAGGTGATTGAAAGGACCCTATCAGTAAGTGGATATTAAAGTTAGCAAGAATTATGGTGAGAATAGTATTGGAATGACTGAATTACCAGCTGAAATCTTAAAGGAAAGAGAAATCTTAGGGTAGGAGGATGGGTATAGCAAAGAGCAAAGTGATGGTATGTAGTCAGATAACGTTAATCAAGACAGAGTTTTAAGAAGAAATGAGAAAGTTTAGAAACAGCGATGTAAGGAGGATGCCTACTCCTTGTCTATGTCCAGCAATGTAATATATGTTGTTATAATATCTTCTTTCATTGCAAAGAGAAGTTTGTGAATTATCCTATCACTTATTTATGGTGCCTTTGCTGAATAAAAATTCCGCTTTTTAAATTTGAAAAGTTTATGCTCTAGCTCAATCCCCAGTAGGGGGTGTGCAGGAGGCAGCCAATAGATGATCCTCTCTCACCATTGATGTTTCTACCTCTGTATCCCTTTTCCTTCCTCTCTCTCTCTAAAAAAAAAAAAAAAAAAAAAATTGGGGAAAAAAATTTTACATTTTTAGAAATCTTGTTAAACATTTTTGTTAAGCATTTTTAGAAATTTGGTTAAACATTTCTTTATCCATCTGAAACTTATTTTGTTACATTTTTAGCCAATCTGTAGAAAATTCTAAGAATATTAATCCTTTACCAGTCAAAACTGTCACCAATATTTTCTCCAGCTTTTTATTTGCCATTTAGACCGATCTTATTTTAATTTTTGACATGTAGAAGTTTTCGTTTTTTTGTAGTTAAATTTACTAATCTTTAGTGACTTGCTTTTAAGCTTAGAAAGGGATCTCCCTATCCAGAGATTTAAACATGCTTACATTTTTTTCTCTCTCCCTCTCCTTCCTTCTGCTTCTCCTTTTTTTTCTCCTCCTTCTCCTCCTTGTCTCAAGGCCAGCTTTAAGTAAAACGAGCCACTAAGCTACTCCAGTCACTTGGGTCTCTTGGGGATCCTGTAGACCAAGAAAAACGTGGGGTTGGGGCTGGGATGGATTTCTCTACAACACAACCCCCTCCCTTCCCCTCCTACATAATAAGCAGTTCAGTGTCGAGCTCCCCAATAAGTGCATGTATGTCTGACAATTAATAAACTGCTGAAGTGAAAGGTGGCCTTTAGATACTCTGTATATGAATTTAGCCAGTTATACAGAGAGAATGAAAAAAAAAATATGGCCTGATTCTGATCAGATGCTGCTTGTTTCTCCTTACACCATGGGGTTCTGTTCTATGTCATTTCCTTTGATGTCAGTGGGAGCTCTGTGCAGGACGGCGAGGTGAACACCGGCCTCTATACATGAAGGTGAGAACTGCCATTACGATAAACTATTCGGCAGTGCGGTGGAGGGAACATTGGTTTAACACACTTGGTGGCTACCCTGCAGATCCCACTGTCTGTGAGAGCTTTGTTCACCCAGAGCAAACAAGAACTTTTTGAATCTTGACATACAAGGGCTCATTCAGCAGAGCATCCCCTGTTATGAGAGGAGGCACAGTGCTGAGCAGGCATTACAGTTTTTAGCCAGCACACTGAGGGCATTTCTCTCACATTCTCTCCATCTGTAAAGAGACTGTTTTCAAGACCCCAAAATGGTTTTCTATAGATTGGGGAGATGTATAAATATTTTTACATGTTTGTACTCACATAGAATGGTGTGTGTGTGTGTGTGTGTGTGTGTGTGTGTGTGTGTGTGTGTGTGTGTGTGTGTGTGTGTGTGTGTGTGTGTGTGTGTGTGTGTGTGTGTGTGTGTGTGTGTGTGTGTGTGTGTGTTTGTGCGCGCGCGCAAGCTGCAGTCATTTCAAAGTTGCCAGGCCTTTTCAATATGGAAAGAAAGAATTCTTGACAATTTTTCGCTGAGGGTGCTACTTGGTGAAACGCAGAGCTTATAATAGAAACAATGAGAGAAACGTTAACGTGGAAAAGGTATTGAAAGTGAAGAGGCGTGTGCGTTTGCTTTCTATCTCGGGAGCATGTTGTTAATTAGCCCACTGAGACTTTCTCCTTTCCCCCTCTCACAGTGAGTTATGTACCATTTTTCAGAAACCCAAATCAAATGATGTTTTCAGGTTGTTACAAATATTGGAATGAATAGAGGTCAAAGAGAAAATGGTTCAAATTTGGTGATTTTTTTTCCCACTCCCCCATCCCCCCCCCTTTTTTTTTATCATCTTCTGACTTTTAAATAGCCATGTCCCCTTACTGATTTCTTCATATCATTCTGCTCCTGTCGCCACACCCTTGCTTAAGCTGTAGCATTCACCCAGCTTCAAGGCCCCTCACTTCCAAGGGCCCCTCCCAGAGCAGGACACCAGCATTTTGTATTTGTATTTTTTCCTATTGCAAAGCATGTTAGTGGAGCAGACTTCTTCTCCTCCTCATCCTCCTTCCCCCTTCCTCCTCCTTCTTCTCTTCCTCTTCTTCTCCATCTTCCTTAAAATTTTGAATTCTTTTTCAGAAAACTTGTATTTACCTCTGCATATAAAACCCCCTTTCCATAATGCATCATCAAGTGGCCAGCATGTAGACAATATTTAAAATCTTGGGATTGAATGAGATCATCAAGGGAGTAAACATAGTTGGAGGAGAGGAGAGGACTAACTTTGGAGCACTCCAAATTTAAGTGACTAGGGAGAAGAGAAAATATGTTTGAGAAATTATTCCATAATAGTACACCAGGAGCAGCAGCATTGGAAATAATAGTTATATTTCAATATAATAGTTATAAACTCATCTATTCTGTGTGAATATGCTCTAATTTATACAAGCAGTCCTTTGCCAATAGCTTCTTACAACTGCTCCTCCTGTTCTCAGTTTATCCTCACTCCAAACCACTCTACATCCTGCCTAAGTTAACCTCGGGTTAATTTTAGTTATTTGTGCCTAGCTAAACACCAGAAAAATGGATAAGTACAATATATTGCATTTATCTGATGAAATGCAGCACAATTGTGATTTTTAATAAAATACTTGCAAAATAATGTTGAGTGAATAAAGCATAATCCCAATTTACACACAAACATATGTATACATGTGCGTGCACACACACAAACACACACAACCAGAAAAAAATTCTAAAGTTTATCCATCAAAAGTGCAACATTTCTGGGTGATAGGTTTCTAGGTGACTTATATATTTTTTATGCTTTCTGTGTTTTGTAAATTTCCTTCATGAAAAATAAATGATTTTTCTAAAAGTGTACCTTAATTATGTTGCTTCACAGGCAGGAAACCAGCTTTGATTCTTTATTGCCTATGAAGGTAATGCCCAAATATCTTTTTTTTTTAAATATATTTTTATTGATTTCAGAGAGAAAGGGAGAGGAAGAGAGAGAGAGATAGAAACACCAATGATGAGAGAGAATCATTGATTGGCTGCCTCCTGCACGCCTCCTACTAGGGATCGAGCACACAACCCGGGCATGTGCCCTTGACTGGAATCGAACCCGGGACCTTTCAGTCCGCGGGCGGATGCTCTATCCACTGAGCCAAACCAGACAGGGCAATGCCCAAATATCTTAATTTAGTGGTCAAGACCCTTTAGTCTAGAGGCCCAAACTCTTTGTTTTAGTAAAAAGGATTGCTCAGTGTCTTCTGGATGTCCTTCTATACTTCTTATTTCTATGCTTTTTTGAAAGCTGAGATCCTTTCATTTTCCTCCTTTCCCTATCATGTCTACACATCTTTGGCGACACTGTTTAGATTCTACCTCTTACTTGGTCCTAAGACCATGAATAATGGAAGAGGTCTCCGAAAATTAGTGGCTCTGTTATTCATCCAGCATTGATCACAGGATGCTTTGTATTGTAGTTCTTTTTCTATGAGTTCATAACTTATCTCCCTAACTGACATTTTTGTTTCTTAGAGTACAGGTTCTGTGACTGAGAGTCACACTTGGTGGAGATTACACAAGTATTGTATGACAATGCCAGGCACTGGTACAGAGCTCTCCATGTATTGTCTTGGTATCCCCTGAGCCACTGTGTCTCATTCACAGTAAGTGTGTAATAAACATTTGCAGTATTTTCTTTACATATATATTTGTATTTTCTCAGCGCATTGAGTTTATGGAAAGAATAACAACACTTCAGCAGTTATTTACTATCAGGGAAATATTGTAAAATCATGTAGTTTTGAACTATTGCTTAAGCATTCTTTCTTCCTTCACAAAAGGTCACTGGGCTTTTCTCCAGGGAATGTTCTCTTCTTACTGTCTCCTGAAATACAATGTAGCTTTACTTTTTCTTCCTTAGTCCCTGGTTCCCAAATATAATCTCCGCATGTGCTCTATCATAGGTGAAATACTTCCTGCCTTAGTGAAATCTAGCTCCCAAATGGATTTCTGTTGGTGTAGGAAGCAACTTGAGGATTTTGCACTTGGCACCATTCAATTTCCTTGGCATCTCTCCATAGTCACCATTTAGAAAGCTCCTGGTCGGCAGGATTTCTTCCCATCATACACTCTGTGGCGATTAAAAAAAGGATTGCATTACATTGGCTTGAAAATGTGATGGAAAATGAAATTTGCTGTACCAAGAAAGGAAGCTTTTAAAGCTCAAATTGTTCTAATAGGACCCTTATACGGAGATAACTCTTAGTGAAGTAAAATGGCAGATGTGGTGAAAGTTCTTTCTCATTTAGTTTGCTGCTAAGTAAACACTACTGTTTAAAATCACGCACGCAAATAAAGCAAGTTGCAAAACAATATGAATATATTTATGTTCTAAAAAATATGGGTGCAAATATACTTATAAAGTAAGCTTGGATTAGGATCTTCAGGAAGGTCCTGAGCACTGACAAGCTGATGGTGTATATAAAATAATATCCTATTATTTAATTTAAGATTAAAACCATGTTAAAATTAAATAAATAAGGAAGTCCCAACAAATTATGATTTTTAAAAATGTCTATACCTTTATGAAAACATCAAATTCTTTTTTTTTCATGACATTACATGGATAAATTTTATTTATTTATTTATTTTTTAATCTATAATTTCTTTTTCCCCCGCCCTTGACAATCTCCTGGCCTCCCCTACCCCCCAGTGTTTTATGTCCATTGGTTATGCTTATATGCATGCATACAAGTCCTTCGGTTGATCTCTTACTCCCCTCCCTTCTGCCCCCCAACCCTCTCTGGCCTTCCCACTGCAGTTTGACAATCAGTTTGAGGCAGCTCTGCCTCTGTATCTATTATTGTTCAAAAGTTTGTAATGGTCTTTATTATCCATGAATGAGTGAGATCATGTGGTATTTTTCCTTCATTGACTGGCTTGTTTCACTTAGCATAATGCTCTCCAGCTCCATCCATGCCGTTGCAAATTGTAAGAGTTCCTTCTTTTTTACAGCAGCATAGTATTCCATCGTGTAGATGTACCACAGTTTTCTAATCCATTCATCTACTGATGGGCACTTAGGCTGTTTCCAGATCTTAGCTATGGTGAATTGTGCTGCTATGAACATATGGGTGCATATATCCTTTCTGATTGGTGTTTCTGGTTTCTTGGGATATATTCCTAGAAGTGGGATCACAGGGTCAAATGGGAGTTCCATTTTTAGTTTTTTGAGGAAACTCCATACTGTTCTCCACAGTGGCTGCACCAGTCTGCATTCCCACCAGCAGTGCAGAAGGGTTCCTTTAAAACATCAAATTCTTTACAAAAAATTCTTTTGGTCATGGTTTGCTGGGGCCTGAAGTACATACTTCATCCACCCATCGGGTAATTCTGTTTTGTTTCAGTGAATGTAAAAACACAGAAAAAGGTCTGGAAAGGAATATACCAAATCATTAACTATGGTTACACCTACAGAAAGGAGTGAGCTGGAGCATTCTATTTTACTCAATTTCTTTCCCTAATCATCTATAACCAAAATATAGTCATTTATTTCATGCACAATTATTAAAAACAAACAAATACACCGGGAAAGTAAAACATTTCACCTTTGCTTTTTTCTAAGTTTAATATTACAGTGCTTATATTTGATAAATGTTAACGTAATTGAGAGGCACCTAAATTGAGAGTATTGATTTTCCCCCCTCTTTCATTCAAAAACATGGTTAGATAGCTGCCCACTATTAGTTTTTTTCTGATATTACTGCCAGTCATCATCACCACTAACATTCATTGAGCTCTTACAGTCTGTTAGGCTGAATTCTCACAGCAACCCCTGAGAGGTGGGAATTATTATTACTGTCATTATATAGTTGAAGAAAAAGAGGCTGGAGAGGTTTGACTGTCTCCTGTGAGCTGGGTCTCACAGCTAGCAAGTGATGGAGCTGAGATGTGTCTGGCAGGCTGACATTATATTCTGCATAGGAAAGAAGAGGGGAGTGGAACTAGTCTGTGGTTTAAGATTTTCACTTCATTTCATAGTTGGCATATACACTTTTGTCTAATTGGGAGCTGAGTAAAGGCATCTAGGTCTGGCTGATGTGTTGGTTGAAAATTACTATTATTATGAAGATGATTATTATAGTATTATTATAGTATTTAGCAATTATGCAGTGCTTTATACTTCAAAGAACTGTGCTTTATGATCATTTATTAGCTTGACTCACAATATCTCTACCATATAAAGATGCACTTACCATGCATATTTTGCAGAAAGAGAAACTGAAGCAGAATAAGATGAGCTACATCTCTTCATAATAAAAAGTGAAGGTAAAATGCAATCTCTTAAATTTCTGAGACTCGGAGAAACAGCTCAATCTGGCCAAAACAGAAGTTTAATCCTTTAAACCTTTTTAAAGGAAGGTGTCACTTCCAATATTTTTCTCAACATTCAATTACAAATAAAATGTAAAAAATGCTAAAAGTTGATGACCATTTCCTTTTAGGTTGTCTGTTTTTGAGCTTTCACTGCATTCATGTCATGTGACAGTTTTGTTCTAATTCAACCTTACTGTCTCCCATTTCTCCACACAAGCACAATTTGACTACAGATATTGGTTTTCAGTGTCGATATTATATTGCTTCAAATTGCTTCCATTGTGTTTAAGAGACGCCTTTTGCTCATCACAAGCATAGGACTCTTCGTAATAACTTACAATAACAACAAACTTTGTGCAAGAATTATATTGGGAGTAAAGGAAGTCTTAGATGTCTGACAGTTTGTACACTTCAAAACTGAAGATTATAAACATGTCAGTATGACTTGGGGTGGGAGGGGGAGAGAGATGAGAAGGAGCTGTGTGGGTTTATTGCAGCACCCTATAAAAGGCTTGGAAGCAATACACACTCTTCCATAAACCTGGTAGTCTCTTTCAGTTGGGAGGCAGTCATGACCATAGCACCTGGGAAAGGCTCAATAAACATTAATTTAGTGGTTAAGACCCTGTCTGTAGAGACAGACTACCTGGGTTCTAATCTGGCTACATTTCTTGCTAGTTATCTGAGCTAGCTGTGCTTCTGCTTCTCCATCCAGAAGAAGAAAGAAAGAGGATCACACTCCATACAGTTACTTATTATGAAATTTATTCAAGTATATGCTATTATTTCTTTTCTATTTCCAAGGCAGTTGACAAATAACATCAGCCATAACTCTATTAAAATGTTGGTGATAATGATATTTATAATTTGATGTCTGCACTTGCCTGGCTTGTTTGGAAATGGTACAACGTGGTACAACACAATTTTCTACCCCAGAAAAACAATTTAAAAGGACCTCAAAATACATTGGAATACATAGTTATGAGCACGTGTAAAATCTCTAAGGCAAAATTTTATACTTGTTTCTCCAAAATAACCATATGATCCCAGTGGCTCCAAACTCAGCGCCCACCATCAAGATTTTACATGTGAATGAGGCCAACTCACCGTACAACCTGAATAAAGACACTGATGCGTGCCTAGTCTGCCCGCGTCTAACTTTTCAAGGGACTCCAGAAACTGGGATTGCTTTTTTTTAAATGTAACATTTCTCAATTTAAAATTTTTGGCTCAATATATTTCTTGTGCAAAACACTGTGGGTCGAACAACACACTTGAGGGCCATTTTTCAAATCTCTGCCAATTATACTAGTACCTACATAGGAGTACTGTGTGCTGTTATTTATATCAGCAAATGCATTTCAAGCACTTCTGTCAAGGCATGGATACAAGGTGAGGAAGACAAAATATGACCAAGTCTTCACAAAACTCACAAGTCTAGTGGGGAGATAGGCAATAGTGTCATAGTACAGAGTGAAAACTGCCACTTTCACTCTGTGTGGAAGCCAGGACTTAAGGCTTTATGTATTTGATCAGGCCCATTATAAAAAACTATAAACAAAGAAACCCATTATTTGAAAGCTTGGCAAATGGTGATACCCAAGTACTGTAGATGGCTCTTTTGTTTAACAAAACACCTTAATGGATTTTGGGGGTGAGAGCTATGCATAGAGGAGCTCCCTTGAGTACCATTCAGGTTATATTCTTTGTGAATGGTAACACCCCCCCCCCCCCCCCCCCACCT